AAAAAGCAAATAAAGCCATGTAGCTCTTCTTAGCAAAAACAATTAATGGGGAGATGGGGCTAAGTAAGAACACATAAGCGCAGAGCAGAAAAACAGGAATTCCTGAGTTCTAATCAGAGATGCGATTCTGTACACTCTGTCTTGAAGTTGCTTCTCTCATGAGCTTTCCCAACTGTGAAATTGCAGTGATAATACTTTGTTGCCATCTGTTCCTTGCAGGCACATTGAAGTAATTAATGTCTCAAAGCTCTTTGAAAATGAAAGCACTCCTATTAGTGCTAAGTAGTATTGTTAACTGGGGAGGGAAAGGAAGGAACATCACGGTTTACTGAATGGAAATAAATTCTTCAAATCAGACCTCAAGATACAGGCTCAGTAACCATACGGAACTCATCAGAAGGCCATTATTATCCAGCTGTCTTGCCTATAAAGGGAGCATTTGTTTGTTTTATAAATTACATTTATCTTCACTTCATTTAGTAAAACAGGTTTGAAGGGACCAATAAAATGGTGTCTAATCAACTCCTTTCCAGTATTTTACCACTTTCCCATGTCACCAAAGCCAGCCAGTCATTCAGGAGAAAAAGGAAGAAACTTTAGTGACTGTGAATTCTCTTGGACCAGAGCCCTTACATGCTTGAACATACTGCATACCAAAACACTGAAGGTAATTAATGTGAACAGTGCTGTCTTCCAGCCTTGAACTGGCCATGCTAAATAGGCTACTTCTCTTTGGTTATAAAGGGGAGGAGGTCCCAACCCTGTTAATATGCTCACTCAGCATAGAGAGTTAGGAACTAGTGGGTGAATGGGACCCATATATTTTTTTGCCTTGAATTAAAAAATGTTAGACTTTCAGGCAAAGATATGAAGGTTTCCATGATTTGCCACAAAATAAGCAGTTCAGCCTTCCTGGCTTAAAGAAAATAGGCAGAAAGCAGCGTAGGTATGCACCTTACTTCAGCCTAACACGGCTATCTACCTCGCTCTGCTCATGATTAAAGAAAGTACCCATTCCACATTGGAATGTGCTGTAAAGTTACTGTAATTCTTTTTGTTTTCATCACTTCCCTTCAGGGTTTGTTTAGGTTTGCTGCACTAAATTCCCTGCATGCAAAGAAAGCCCCTAGGAATAGTGGGATAAAATTAAGAAAGGGAAAAATAGGCTATCAAGAGACGTTTCCCAATGGTTAGATTATGTTCAGCTATGGCATAGCCTCCTAAGTGCCAAGTGGAGGCTGTTTTGAGACTTATTTGATACAGTCTAAGGTTAAAGGAATGCACTTGTAAGCTTTGCTGCAGTCATTCAGATGTACAGTTTCTGCCTCCCTAAACCTCTAGAAATGCTGTGTCTTGAGTGGAGAGACATCACATTCACAAGGGTCAATGCATCCAGAAAGCAGAGTACTAAGCTGCAGCCTGTAAGTCTCTGGAATCATTAATCCTATCTAATATGTGACCTAAACAGATGCCATCTATCTCATTATAAGCTTTCCAATATACTACAGAACACCCTACTCTAACAACATTTGAAGGAAATTTTAAAGATGGGATTGGAGCCACAGATGAGGGAATGATGCCAATAAATCTTAACTCTGTTCCAACCATCTACTGTTTGCTTACTGGCAAAAAAAGCCAGTTCCAGCAACAGTTAAGCACATGGTGTTGCAAGCTGTTCAGCCATATAATGAAGAAGAGATTTTGTCCCCCATGCGGTTAAAGGTAGTGTAATTTAATGAATCTGGGTCAAGAGCTTCCAGTGAATAAAGTACATTCATGTTCCTTCATAGGCGTAAGTTCCTTAGCCCCACCTAGTGCTCAGTGTGTGAATCAGTCTATTGTTTTAACAACTTACAGGAATTGGACAGGTTCCTTTCCTCTGCCTGATCTATTATGTTTAATTATAAACTAGGTGTTGTACTAGATTCCCTAAATGTGCAACAGTACCTTACAGAAGTGCCTGTTTTGTTTGTGCCTTCTAATGTAAAATTGCTGATGAGAACTGCCTTCCTGCAGACAGTTGTAACTAGAATGCTAAACACAGGCAGAACCGTCCAGGCGATGATGTTTAGATCTGCCCTTCATTGTTTGACTGTATTTATCATGAAAGAAACAACAGGCAGTGGTGTTCATTGTTTGCCCTTCCCCCCCTTCATGTTCACTAACGACACTCGTGCTGCAGCATAAAACTTCGGTGTTCTTCCCTTAGCTGGTCAAGTTCTTGGCAATGGTTGCAGGATGGATTATTCTGCCTTCAGTGTTTGCTTTTGCACAAGCTTCTTCACCTCAGATCACATTTCCTTCAAAAACCCTGAAATTAGGTAAGGTGACAATTTATGATATCCCTTTTTTTTTAAATCTGTTAAACAGGCCAATGTTATCACCCTGGAGGATTTGAATTTGAATATAAATTTAAGGCCATTCCTCCTCTGATTTTTGAGGTGTTTGGTGTTGCAGATGTTCCTTTTCAGCCTCAACATCTGCCTGCTATAAGAACGGCCTGTTTTTTATGTCAGAACACTGCTCTGAATATTCTGACATCAAACCATAATGGCTGGTGTCTAGAAACTGAACAAAATCCAGTGCGGTGAGCAAGCCCACTTTGGGCAAAGTGAGGGGCAACTATTTAAAATGCTTGGGGACTCCTTTTTTTTCCTTTGGTCAAATGCTCAACAACACTACTAACAGTTCAAATAGAAGTGATTTCCTTATGCTTCTGGATCAGAAGCTTTCATTATTATTACGGAAGTCCCTTTTTTTAAGAAGGAAATTTTGGCAGCTGTCTACTCTTGAAGCATAGACAGGAGGATGCACCTGATCTACACAACTTGTAATATAAGTGCACAAAGGGTAAAATGTGAAGCTTGGACTCCTAAGTGACTTAAGCATGTTAAAATATTTCGCCAAAATCATAGTACTTATTTAGATCAGTATTATCTGAATTATTAGGATTAGCATTTTAAAATGTCTTTTTATGAATTAAGTAATTTTCAAAGGGACTAGCTTGACAGATTTGAAGACTGGCACCTTCAGTTTTATCCACAAGATAAGTGCAATGTAGACAGCAGCAATAAAAGGCTAGGTGGGGGAAAAAAAATCACTTTTTTTTTTTAATGTATATGGATTTACCTCTTTACTTTCTTCCTCTCTATCAACATGGATATTATGGTTTTGTTTCTTTATCTTCTAACTACTAGTCAATTTGAGATTTAACAGATTGTTTCTATTAAGAAATTCTACATGTATAATTTTTGTTTACAGAGAGAAATCCAAGCTCTCATTAGCATCCTTACTATACAATATATACAAACTCAGACAAAAGTAGAACAAACAGACCATTCTAGCTTTGCATTCTAAGAAACCAATTTCTAATATGCTGAACTATTACAAGCCAGGAAAACTGAACTGCTTTGACCAAGCTATACTCCATCGTTGTTTGCAGTTTGAAGTCGAGTATATGGCTTAGGAACCTAGCTGTAGGCTCCTACTTGGAAAAAAAAATGGCTTTTATATATGAAGGAAATTTGCATATTTGTATAATGCATTGAAATTTGAAATAATTTTTCATTAACACAGAGCTGCTTTTTATTTTGAATTTAAAAGGATTGTAAGATACTAATGAGAATTATATGAAAACATGAACACAGTTATTGCCTCTGATACTGCAAACATCTGTGAGGCAGAGCTGTACTGCTACCCAGCATGTCCACCAGTGGCAGATAGTGGAATGACCTTCAGGGAAGATTAGCTGTGAAATAAGCAGGGGTAGCTCTTGATGAATAAGCAGTTGTGGACCTAAGCAGTGGCAGCACCATCAGGATGTCATGAGGACAGGAGATGGCAATATTTTCCCTCCTGAAAAGCCTAATATACCCTTTGACAGTTCTGTGACATGGCAAGTGCAGGTCACCATTACAATAAGCCTGCCAAGCCCCCAGCCATGGGTCTCCAAGTCCTCAACAGCCGAGCAGGCAGAAGAAGATGTTATAATCTCAATAGCTGTAAAGGCGGATGAAGGCTGCAGCAGAATGAGATCCCCAGTTGTCTTGGTCTCCTTGCCATTGGATCAAGGTCCCATTCTGTCAGGAGCCATGTGGAAGCTGATGTGCAGCAGCTTCTCCATGATAAAAGTCAGCATGCACAAGCATCTCCCATAAAAACAACTTTTCCAGCACATTCCTCAAGCCCTTTGTTAACCAGCTAATGGTGATGAGACCAGGATTGTGAGGTCTGGAAGTTTCTAGTCATGAACTGGCACAAAGGCAGCAGTTACAAGAAGTTCATCTAGTACAGCAGTTCCCAAACTCTGACAGATTGTGCACCGCCAGTTTAAAATGATACAACCTTAAGTACCACCAGCAAATTTTTCAGTTCAACCTTAAGTACCACCAACAAATTTTTGTCATATAAAATAATTATAATAAATCTGTTAATGTGTACCACTGATAGTTTGTCTGCATACCACTGGTGGTATGTGTACCACAGATTGGGAACCACTGTCCTAGTACGTGGATGAAACAGGAGTGTGATTTGGCAGCTGTAACTGTGACTGCAACCCTCTTCAGGATCAGCTCTGCTCACCCCACATGGGGAAGGGGCTAGAAAAGGTGTCCTAAACATACCTGTCTAATATGGTATTCTGCATTTCTTCCAGACTGGATAACCATGTCCAGTGGGATCGCCTTTACTTGGTCAAAAATACCAGCAAAGACGCACCTTCATTTTTAGGACCTGAAACATCAGAACCCTCATGGACAACCCTAATAGTGAATGCCCAGAACACTGCACTGCAATCACGGCCTGAGAACTCAGGCAACACAACATTGATGTAGCTGCACTGAGCAAGACAGCGAGTGGGAGATGGGCAGCTCAAAGAACATGACGGCAGCTATACCTTCTTCTGGAAGGGTAAGCAGGAAGGAGAACATTGACCTCATGGAGTTGGTTTTGCCATTAAGAATGAACTCAATGGGTTCCCTGTCAAAATTAATGAGCACCGCATGACTCTCCATTTTAAACTGGCAGGGAACCAATATGCCACTGTCATCAGTGCATATGCTCCAACTCTTGATGCTGCCAATAAAACCAAGGAGGAATTTTACACCAAACTTGACCAAGACCTTTCTGAAGTTCCAGAAGGATACAAAGTTATTTTTCTCACTGATTTCAATGCCAGAGTTGGATGGGACTCTAACCTCTGGAACAGAACTATTGGTAAAGAATGAGTAGGAAAAGTCAACTCCAGTGGTATCCTCCTCTTGACCAAATGTGCAAAACATGGACTCACCATCACTAACACCATCTGTTCTGTCAGAAAAACAGGCATAAGATGTCATGGCAACACCCACAATCTAAGCATTGGCACCTGATTGACTTTGTCATTGTCAATGTGCAGGATTGCAAAGATGCCTGCATTACCCAAGCTATGCTAGGAGCTGACGATTTCTGGACTGATCACTGACTCATCCACTAAGTTATGTCACTCAAACTGGGTCCCAAATGATGGCTGCAGCAAAAGCAATGTCAACAGATCAACACTGAAGGACTCAAGGACCCAAGCAAGCGAGACCTCTACCACTAGTGCCCCAATGAAAAACTGTTGAATTCTAATCAACAACAATGGGAAAATGTCAGCAGCATGTGGGGTGCCCTCAAGGCCACTATCATCAGTGCCTGTGATGAGAAAATTGGATTCTCTACCAGGAAACATCAAGACTGGTTTGATGAGAATGACTGAGAGAGCCAAAAGTTTGATCACTTGCAAGCACAAGGCTTTGCGCTTGGCAAAATGACACCAAATCCAAGCAAAAGAAATTGAGTCTCCAACAAACCAGAGATCCAAAGGAGGACCTGTGATATGAAGAACAAATGGTGGAAAGACAAAGCTAAGGAGATTGAACATCTTGCTGACATGCATGATATGCACAGTTTCTTCAGTGCCACCAAAGCCATCTATAGTCCAAGCACTCAGGGACCAACCCCCTTGAGACTTAAGGATGAGACCAGATCAAGGAAAGGGGAGCCATCAATGCCTGTTGGAAACAGCATTTTGAAGACCTTCTCAACTGAGACTGTGGTTGATGAGAGTGTTCTCAACTCCACTGTGCAACACCCAGTCAGAGATCATCTTGAAATCTGTCCAATCCTTGACGAGGTGAGGAAAGCCATCAAGCAGATGAAGGATGACATGGTATCTGAAGCAGATGGAATCCTCATGGAAATCTGCAAGCAGGGGGGAGAGGAGCTCACATTACAGCTTCATGCCCTTATCTTAAGGGCATGATAAGAAAATCTCAGATGATCTCAGGGATGCCATGATTGTGCCAATTGTCAAGGAAGGAGACAAGTCCGACTGTGGAAACTAAAGAGGGATTGCCTTGCTGTCCACCACAGGAATGATCATTGTGAGAACCCTCCTGAACTGTCTGCCTCCACTTCTGAAGAGCTCCTCCCAGAACCTCAGTGTTGGTTTAGGGCATCAAGAGGCATATGATCTTCACAGCTCACCAGCTGCAGGAGAAATGCCAGAAGCAACATAAGCTTCTCTACATGGCCTTGACCTCACAAAAGGTTTCAACTCTGTCAGTCGAGAAGTGTTGTGGAGGATCCTTATGAAGTACAAATGCCCACCGAAATGTTCACCATTCTCTGCCTGTTCTATGACGGTATGTGAGCAGTGGTTCTTAGTAATAGAACCATCACAGATCCCTTTGAGGTTAAAATGGGAGTTAAGCAAGTCTGCATTATCGCTCCAACACTCTTCTCAATATTCCTTACCGCGATACTATATCTGACCACCAACAATCTTCCAGCCGGAGTGGAGCTAACTACCAAATGGATAGTAAGCTGTTTAACCTCAACCAACTCTGTGCCAAAACCACCTTGACCTCAGCCATTGAGCTCTGGTATGCTGATGATGCTGTACTGTATGCTTACTCGGAAGCAGACCTTCAGGAAATCATCATCTTTACCAAGGCATACAAAAAAATGGGACTATCACTTAACATTCAGGAGACTAAGGTCCTCCACCAACAAGCTCCTAATGAAACAGTCCCCAGCTCTGGTAATCCAGATCCATGGTGAGGCTCTGGAGAACACTGAGTATTTGAAACCCTCTCTCACAAAAGGCTGACATTGATGAAGAAATCCAACATCACCTCAAATGTTCAAGTGCAGCCTTTGGACACCTAAGGAAATGGGTGTTCAAAGATAACAACATCAAATCCGAAACCAAGCTCATGGTTTATCAAGAAATTATGATCCCCACCTTGCTATATGGAGCTGAGACATAGACAATGTACAGGAGACATCTAAGGTTGTTGGAGAAGTACCATCAGTGCTGCCAGTGGAAATTCCTCTGAATCCACTGGGAAGACACATACATCAATATTAGTATCCTCCTGTAAGCCAACACCATGAGTATCGAGGTGATGATCATCCAACATCAACTTTGTTAGGCTGGTCATATCAGCTGGATGTCTGACTCCAGGGTCCCAGAGCAAGTTTTAATCTCTCAGCTCAGCCAAGGTTTATGCTCAAGAGGAGGGCAGAGAAAGCACTTCAGGGAAGTCCTCAAGGTCAACTTAGAAAATGTGACATCAGTGACAACTCATGGGAAACTATTGCCCAGAATTGCCCCAAATGGAGGAAGAGTCTGCTGCAGGGATCTCAGTACTTTGAAACCTCACAAAAACAATAGAAGTTGGAAAAGCGAAAGCGGCAGACACAGTGTGTTGTGCACCAAATCAAGAATCCAGTGCCACCCACCCCACATGGAAACACATGTCCAAACTGCAGTAGAGTCTGTTGATCCTGAATAGGCCTCATCAGCCATCTTTGAGCACATAGATAAGACAATCATGAAAAACAATCATCCTTGACTGCAAGGGATTGGCAAAGAAGACTGCAAACACATGAACATGTTTGCCAGTAAGCCACTGAAGTCTGTTCAAGGGAGTAGAGGGGCATATCAGTTTAAGAATTTGCAGATCCTGACTTTTAACATTTGGTGTTGCCTATAACAAATTATGACATTTAAATAAAAGACACTACCAGTAGTAGCATTTTTAAAAGGTTAAAATAACCATTTACATTTATCATTTGTTTCTTTATAAATGTTAATGCTATATTTCCAATAACACAGATTCCTACATTTGCATTTATATGTTTTAATTTCATAGACATTAGGCTGGAAGCGACCTCAGAAGATCATCGAGTTCAGTTCCCTGCCCCAGGGGCAGGAAGCCAGCTGGGGTCAAAGGACCCCAGCAAGATAAATGTCCAAATGTTTCTTAAAGGAGTCCAGAGTAGGTGCTTGTACCACCTCTGGAGGCAGTCTTCTATTCCAGGCCTTGGGGGCACGGATAGTAAAGAAGTTTTCCTTATGTCCAGCCTGAAACGGTCTTGGAGGAGTTTGTGGCCATTTGACCTTGTCATTCCTTGGGGAGCTCTGGTGAACAGGCATTCCTCCAGATCCCAATGTACCCCCCTTATATACTTATAGGCAGCCACCAGGTCCCCCCTAAGCCTGAGCTTTTCCAGGCTGAAGAGTCCTATGGCTCTCAGCCTCTCATCATAGGGCCTGTTCTCCTGCCCTCTGATCATGTATGTGGCTTTCCTCTGGACTCTCTCAAGCTTTTCCACATCCTTTTTAAATTCAGGAGCCCAGAACTGGATGCAGTACTCCAGTTGTGGCCTCACCAAGGCCAAGTACAGTGGGAGGATGACATCCTGGGATTTGCTTGAGAAGCATCTATGGATGCAAGCCAGAGTTTTGCTCACTTTACCAGCTGTGACATTGCATTGGTGGCTCATATTCATTTTGTGGTCAGTCATGAGGGTCATTGCGAGTCCCCTGGCGCAGCTTTATGAGCACTCGTGGTGCTCTGGAGAGGTGCCGGAGGACTGGAAGAGGGCCAACGTGGTTCCCATCTTCAAAAAGGGGAGGAAGGAGGACCC